AAAGAATAAAACACGCCTCGTAATGTTAAGAGAATCTATATGAAATCTCCGTCTGTCGTCCGTGCCTGTCAATCCCTTATATAGGTGGGTCTACCGACGCCCAAGCCCTGCCTTCGAGACATTTCGAGAAAAATCCCAATCATTCTACCAAATACTATTTGGAACAGATTAATTATTTTCAGTGGCTGGCGGTGTAAACAAGAAATACATCAAAGACCTAAGCCACACCCCTTTGTGAACACAGCGTCTCATGCGGGGTAAATCAGAGGGCACGTACGAGAAATATTGTGTAAACAAGCTCTCTGTAACAATAAACACTCTTAAAACTTTTATAAATTTGCCATTACAGGCTTTTTTTTCTTCTTTCTGTGGCCTACTTATTTATAAGTGCTCTAAAAAAAACAAACAAAAAAAACTAGGTGGTTTGTCGTGAAATCAAATTGTAGATAAACAATCATTTCAATACTAATTTGCCTCTTACGAAGTTTAAGTGAAGTTTTGCGATATAATCCAAATATTAATTGATCATTTTCATCGTTGTATTTGTTGTTTAGAAAAAAAATGATACAACAATCAGTTTCTTAGAAAACTGAAAAATAGTGAAAATAGATGACACTTCAACATATATGATTATTAAGGTGCGGCATTTTGTGTTCTTGCCTATACAGGTAGCAAAAAATTGCTACAAAGTACCGTATTTTCGAGCATGTAAGACGCATCCATATATAAGACGCGGGTTTTGACAATTTGTGTAAACATAACATAAGACGCACGCGGCCTAGCCATCTGCCGCACTGAGCAATTTGTATCCAGTGGTTTCCTTTCCTTTATCATTTATCATAAATGAAAATTTGTCCAATGTTTATCATCCGTGGCGATGTAAACAAGGCTTTCTTTACCATTTGTAGTTTACCGGTAGATCCTGTCTGAGACAGGACCGCAACGATTATTGTTTATTCTTATCTGCCGCAGGGCCAATAGTGAATGGGTTGAGTGCCTGGTATTTAGATTCTTGAAACAATAAACGCCAGATGTAAAGGCGGCTTCATTGATCGGCTGGGCCAAGTCCAAGTCTTCAGCGAGTGGGATTAGTACCGAACATCGACCAATAAATGCCCGATGTATGCGGTTAGCGTATATAAACGTGTGATTAGTCTCTTGTTAACGGTCTATATAAATTCGGGATCAATTTGCTTAGCATTAAAAAAGATAATAATTAAATTGTGGCGATGCTGAAGCGAAAATCCTATACGGCTGACTTTAAATTAGACGTCATTAAGTTTGCCAAGGAGCGTGGCAACCAGTAATTATTTCAGAAATTTTCCCCCCGGGGGGGGGGGGAGGGGGCAATTCAGATTTTTCGGGGGGGGGGCGGTGCCAGGGGATTTATTGTTGGACATACTTTTGCTCCAGGTGACACTTGGCTTTCCGCGGGGGCAGTGCCCCCCCTCCCCCCTCCCGGAGATATAGCTGAAAGAAACCCTGGTGGCAACAGAACTGCTGGAAGAGAATTTGGCTGCAGCGAGAAAAATGTACGTGATTGGAGGTTGGATGAAGAGGAGATTTCGAAGATGAATCCAAGGAAACGAGCTCGTAGAGGTAGAAATGCAAGATGGCCGAATTCGGAAGAAAATCTAGCCAACTGGGTGCGTTCGCAACGAGACAGTAGCCATGTCTTTCAACGATAGCGATCAAATTGAAGGCTCGAATTATTGCTATAGAAATGAAGATAACAGACTTTGTGGCAGAGTCAACTGGGTTTTCAAGTTCATGAAACGGAAGAATCTTGCAGTCCGGTCACGTACAACTGTTGGACAGAAGCTTCCTGACGATTGGGAGAATAAATTGGATGTTTTCCATTATACCTTTGTTCAGAATGAAATAAGTGAACTGAAGTTGGCCGATGACGACATCATCAATATGGATGAGATTCCAATGTCATTCGATGTTTCAGCTACTAGTTACTAGATCAGTGGCAGATAAAGGAGTGAAGGCAGTCGCCTATTGATACCGCCGGACATGAACGAACCAACTTCACTGGTGTATTGGCCTGCACTGCTACAGGCAGGAGGGAAACTCAAACCCATGGTTAGCTTTAAAAGGATAACCATGCCAAGAGAAACGTTGCCAGATGGAGTCGTTGTTGTCTGCAACAACAAGGGCTTGCTGAACACAGAAGTGATGCATAACTGGACTAACAAATGCTTCAGTACAAGAATAGGCAGATTTTTAAAAAATAAGAAATCTCTTCTGATTTTTTATGCAATGGTTACCCATAAGGAGACGACTGTGCAAAAGCACGTCAACAAAGCCGGAGCCCACATAGACGTTATCCCCGATGGCCTGACTTGCAAACGACATCCCTTTGATGTCACCGTCAATCACCCGTTTAAGACTTTTGTTTGTGAGGAATGGGATCGTTGGATGAGTAGCGGTAGACCCACATTCACGCCAACTGGTCGACAACGTCGGGCACCGTATACGTAGAGGTATGTCATTTGGGTTCTTCGGGCATGGGAGAAAGTGAACATTACGACAATCATCAATGGCTTCAGAAAGTGCGGGATAATTCCCGAATCGGACAGCTATCTCAGTTCTTCGGACGATGACGCAGCTGCTTCCGATACCACTGACGGCAATGAGGATCGATTAGCATCATAGTTATGGAGTTATTCCGCGACGACGACAGTGAATTTGATTCAAGTTTCAGTGGATTTGAAGCCAAAACTGGCGACGATGAAAATGAAGGTGAATTGAAAAATACGGTACGCATAGATTTTTGATCAAGTCAAACACTATTTGGTAGCTGTTTATTATATTGTGTTTAATAACAAATTTAAAAATGTGTTTGTAACTGATTTTCGTATTTAATTTAAATATATTGAACACATTCTTCTCTTGTTTTCGAACGCAACCAGCAAAGATGCTAAAAATGTAAGTATCTTTGAACCCAACCGGATGTCTAGATCTAGGTAATATAGTCGCCGTGGTTTTTGCCGTGATAATTGGTAACACTAATCAAAACTATTTAAACGTAGGCCTACTATATTATATATTTAAAACATTCACTCCGACTAAACTTAGATCTGCAATAATTACGTTACGGTATACAAAACATTGAAACGAAAGGATTTTAAATTTGAAGTGGCCTGCATTGGATTGGTACACGTGGTAAATACTGAACACTTACCCAATTGTTTTTTCAACTATAAGGAATCAAAATCGCGAAACATGATTATCGACCCTAATCACCGCCCTTCAATCTCACACACTGCACCGTTCGTTCGTGTTAAATAAAATACTTACCGTATTTTCGCGCATATAAGACACATCTAATTGTAAGACGCACCCATATTTAAGACGCAGGTTTTGACGATTTGTGTAAAAAATTGTTTACATAAGACGCACCCTGGGTGCGGGTACGTAAAACTTTGTTAAAGACACTTCTTATATACGCGAAAACACGGTCATGGCCGGCACTGTAAATCAAAGCTTCCCTCTGTCTGATTCTCACTAACAAAAGCCACAGAATGGGTTCATAAAGTGTGTATATGTTTAAATTTATTGTTGAATCTGTCTATTTTAAGTCGTTTTCTTTGGTCTCTGGACCATCCGTAAATGACGTCAAGCATCCATGGGAACATGATTCACGAATTTGTGACGATTTGTTATGATGGTGTCTAAATTTTGCGTCAGATTTGTGACGCTTTTTTTGGGGTGGGGGGTGGGGGGCGTAATATCGGCCAAAATTGTGTGACGTTATTTTGAAATGTCCCTTCTATACGTCTCCAACTTACCGGTAAGCTCAACTGTCCAAGTTATTACAAATCCTAACATTTCTTATTACTTGACAATCACGCTTTTATAAATTATTGATAATCCTGATGTCTCCTTCAAATTGATATGAATTATCAAAATCACAGCATTATTCAACTTAAAATAGTAACTTTTTAAAAAAATAAGAACAAGCTACTCAAGGTGTTTTACCAGGGCCTAGGACCTAACTTTTTCCCAAAGGATCAACGGGACATGAACCTGTCTAAATTGACCCACCCTTACACGGATCAACGGGACATGAGCCTGTCTAAATTGACCCACCCTTACATGGATCAACGGGACATGAACCTGTCTAAATTGACCCACCCTTACACGGATCAACGGGACACGAACCTGTCTAAATTGACCCACCCTTACATGGATCAACGGGACATGAACCTGTCTAAATTGACCCACCCTTACATGGATCAACGGGACATGAACCTGTCTAAATTGACCCACCCTTACACGGATCAACGGGACATGAACCTGTCTAAATTGACCCACCCTTACATGGATCAACGGGACATGAACCTGTCTAAATTGACCCACCCTTACACGGATCAACGGGACATGAACCTGTCTAAATTGACCCACCCTTACACGGATCAACGGGACATGAACCTGTCTAAATTGACCCACCCTTACATGGATCAACGGGACATGAACCTGTCTAAATTGACCCACCCTTACATGGATCAACGGGACATGAACCTGTCTAAATTGACCCACCCTTACATGGATCAACGGGACATGAGCCTGTCTAAATTGACCCACCCTTACATGGATCAACGGGACATGAACCTGTCTAAATTGACCCACCCTTACATGGATCAACGGGACATGAGCCTGTCTAAATTGACCCTTCCTTACATGGATCAACGGGACATGAGCCTGTCTAAATTGACCCACCCTTACACGGATCAACGGGACATGAACCTGTCTAAATTGACCCACCCTTACACGGATCAACGGGACATGAACCTGTCTAAATTGACCCACCCTTACACGGATCAACGGGACATGAACCTGTCTAAATTGACCCACCCTTACATGGATCAACGGGACATGAACCTGTCTAAATTGACCCACCCTTACATGGATCAACGGGACATGAACCTGTCTAAATTGACCCACCCTTACACGGATCAACGGGACATGAACCTGTCTAAATTGACCCACCCTTACA